AGAAAATCATTGGCAACAGTCATGTGATGCATTTCTTAAGGCTCAACACATTGTCTTTTCAGTCCTTGATAACACCAAACTCACTCGAACAGGACATTGCCTTTGGTAAAGTGGAGGGTCAGAGAGAAAAAGGGAAACTCGAACAATGGGCTCAAGCGTACCAACAATGTGAAGATGCTCAGGACCAGGCAATGTTTTGTTCTGTTGTACATATGGTCCCAATGAGTCGGAGCGAACTCCGTGATAACTGGCAACAACAACAATAACAGCGCTTAATACAATACCAGTCACACAGCTGGCCCTCAGCAAAGATCCAGTGAAGAATGAGTTGTTTAGGAGGCTTTTCTGTACTCATATAACCCCAGCTACAATGGGAAAAATCAAAAACCAAACTCCGTTATTGAGTCAATTCTGACTCATAACAACCCCCACTGGGTTTCCAAGGCTGTAAATCTTTACAGAAGCAGACTGCCTCATCTTTCTTCTGCAGAGTGGCTGGTGGGTTCCAACCTCACCGACTTTTTGGTTAGCAGCCTTAACCACTGTATCATCAGAGCTCCTTGCCACAATGGGAAATTCTCATTTCTTTTAAGCACAGGGATATTTACTCCCCACCTGTCCCAAATACTCTGTCATTTTCCTCTTCTATTGTCTCAATGCCTTCTTGTTCTGTGTCATGAGACTTCTGCCAACTGCCTATAAAACATTTTGCAATCTGGGAGGGGCTCTGGGTACCTGGTAACCACTGTTAACGTCCAGGAAGATGCAGACTGTGATAAATAGGAGTCATAAAATGAACAACTGCGGTTTCATTCTTTGGATCCTGAAATAGGAACTAGAAATCAAGATACAGCTTCCCTTTTCAGACCTTGCCCTTTGTCTGCTTAATGTTGAAAGGAACAAGGGGTCGGACTGCGAGTTGGTATAAACAAAAGCCAGGAAGAGGAAAAGGGAAAAGCTGGTCAGACAGCTACTTTTTCTCAAGAGACAAACAGCATTCTAGGAAAGGAAAATACTCTAGTTTATAAAAAATTATACAAGAAACATAAAGCAGAAAAAAGAAAGCAGGCCAAAACAGTAGTCCCTTGTGTTATCGTCTGCATATCTAAGTAGGAGTTGTAACCCTTGCATTTTCTCTACCTTGCATTCAGATGGCACTCAGTGTTCATCCCCAGTGAGTTCATGTTGTTGTTGTTATGTGCCATCGAGTCGGACCCGACTCATAGCAACCCCTCCCTGGGTTTCCAAGGACAGATCACTAAGGAAGTAGATTGCCCAACCTTCCTTCTGAGGAGTGGCTGGTGGGTTTGAACCACCAGCCTTCTAGTTAGCAGTCAAGTGCCTTAGGCACTATGCTACCAGAGCTCCCCAGTGAGTTCATAGAGGAGTACAAATACATGATGAAAATCACTTATTAATCTAGCATATGACTGCAGCTCTGGGGATTACATAAAATGGGATAGTGAACTTAAAACAAATGGCAGAAGGGACACTTCCATTCATTGCCCACCTCCCTGTTCACCCTCTTCCTTGCTGCTCCCTCCTGAAGAAGAATTTGCTAATCTGAACTATAATTGTGCCAAAGAGGGAGATCAAGTTCAACCTCCCAAGTTCAACTCAGGGAGGTAAAGGCAGGAACGATGACTGGGGGTTCCCATCTCTCTATCAGTGTGGCCTTTCCCACCTTACAACAACTATCTTTTGTTTAGAATGAATTATTATTAAAACTGGAAAGTCTACCATTACTTCTTGAGAATCTACCATGTGCCAGGCACTGTGCTAGGGCTTGGGAGCAAAAATAAAAATAAAACATTGGCCCCTGCTCTTGAAAAGTTCATAATCTAATGGGTGAGACAAAAATAATTTCCATATTCTTTGGTGTTATAAAAAAGGTAAGCTCAGGGTTATGTAGAAATAAAGAGTCCGTGAGAGCAGAATGGGGATCTCAGGAAGGTTTCCTCGAAGACGTGAGGTCAGTGTTGAGGGTTAACAAATGTGTAGGAGTTAACCAATCAATTCCAAGTCACTGCAATCCCATGAGTCAGAGTAGAATGGTACTCCATAGTGTTTTCAGTGGCTGCTTTTTTCAGAAGTAGATCACCAGGCCTTCCATCCGAGGTGCCTCTGGGTGTACTTGAACATCCCAACTTTCAATTAGCAACCAAATGATTAACTGTTCGCACCACCCAGGACTCTGTTCTAGCAGAGAGAATAACATGAGCAAAGCATCTCTCCCTCACAGCAAGGAAGGCCCCAGATCCTAACATGTCTGAATGAATGAATGCCTTAAGAAGGACAAAGGAGGAAACTGAGAGAATTAGTGAAACATAATCAAGGACTAGATTTTGAAGCTCTGGTGGCATAATGTCTAAGGCATTTGACTGCCAACAAGAAGGCTGGTATTTCAAACCCACCAGCCACTCCTCACGAGGAAGGTTGGGCAATCTACTTCTGTAGTGATACTGCCTTGGAAACCCAAGAAGGGGTCACTATGAATCAGATCCAACTCAACAGCAGTAAGTATGGTTTTTTGGTTTGGTTTGGTTTTTAGACTTTGAAGAAGTGAATTAAAAATAAATGTATAGCTTTCTCTGAAAAAAGCTAAAGCAAACAATCAACTTCCTCGATGTTCACAGGTGGGATCAGATGCCAGGTGGCCTTTGAAACACAAAGCTAGAGTTTACATTTAAATCAGATGAGACAGATGGGAAGCAAGCAACATAGCACATGCATGACTGTTGTGTAAATTCTTGACAACATAATAGTTATGTAAAGGATGATATAAACAATACAGACACTTGGGGAGTGAGAGTTTTCCTAGCCTAGTCTGTTCTGCTGGAGAGTAGCAGCAGTAAGAATCAAGACTTGGAGCTGACTCCCAGAGCTTTCTGTGTCCTTGGCTATTGTTATTTGGTGCTGTCAAGTCAATTATCGACTTATAGTGATCCATGTGACAGAGTAGAACTGTCCCATAGAGTTTTCTACACTGTAATCTTTACAAGGGCAGATGGCCAGGTCTTTCTCCCTTAGAGTCACTGGCTGGGTTTGAACCACCAACCTTTCAGTTAGCAGCTGAGCATTTAAGTACCCTGTGGTAGGACCCAAAGGAACTCTGGTGGCATAGTGGATAAGGCATTTAGCTGCTAACCAGCAGGTCAGCAGTTCAAACCCACCAGCTGCTCCATGGAAGGAAGCTGGGATGATCTACTTCCATAAAGATTTACAGCCCTGGAAACCCAATGGGGGTCGCTGAGTCAGATTCCACTCGATGGCAGTGAGTTGTTTTTGTTTTTTTTTTTTGGTTTTGTAGGATCCAGAAATGATAATGACCAATGTGAACTCTGTTGCACACTCCATCCCTTGGAGACCTTGGATGTTGATTGACATAAGTAGCATAAAGATGTGGCTGAGACCTAGTCTAGAGAGGATGGAGGTAGCCAATTCCAGAAAACATTTCTGTCATAGGCTCAGCTTTCAGCATAGTTTCATACCTAGCCTGCAGTTTCCTCACTTTATGCCTTTGTTACCAACTGCATCTAACACTAAGAATTATAAAATATCTCTGATTGTTTTATTTATGGAGCTAAATTAAATAACTCCTTATATGTCTTGAGTAACTTGAGGAATGGCCATGTGTCCCATATTACACAACCCAAAAACCCAGAATAACTTTAACAAAGAGAATTGAACCTGAAGGAACAAAGGTACCATCACCTGTTCAATCAATTTTCCATTCACTCAATAATTTGTAGTAAGCATCTCCTAGGTGTATAACATATGGATTACACCTCAACATAAAGAAAACAAAAATCCTCACAACTGGACCAATAAGCAGCATCACAATAAATGGAGAAAAGATTGAAGTTGTCAAAGATTTCATATTACTTGGTTCCACAATCAACACCAATGGAAGCAGCAGGCAAGAAATCAGGTGGCATGTTGCACTGGGCAAATCTGTTGCAAAAGACCTCTTTCAAGTGCCAAAGAGCAAAGATGTCTCTTTGAAGACTAAGGTGAGCCTAACCCAAGCCATGGTGTTATCAATCACCTCATATGCATGTGAAAGCTGGACAATGAATAAGAGTTGATGCTATTGAGTTGTGGTGTTGGCAAACAGTACTGAAAGTACCATGGACTGCTAAAAGAACTAACAAGTCTGTCCTGGAAGAAGTGCAGCCAGAATGCTCCTTGGAAGCGAGAATGGTCACCTACTTTGTCTCACCCACTTTAGTCATGTTATCAGAAGGGACCATTCCCTGAAGAAGGATATCATGCTTGGTAAAGTGGAGGGTCAGTGAAAAAGGGGAAAGCTCTCAACAAGATGGATTGACACAGTGGCTGCAACAGTGGGCTCAGGTATAGCACGTATTGTGAGTACAGTGCATAGGGTCGCTATGAGTCAGAGCCAACTCAATAGCACCTAACAACAACAATGTGTACAACAAGGCAGTGGTGGTTCAGTAGTAGAATTCTCTCCTTCCTTGCAGAAGACTGGAGTTAGATTCCTAGTCAATTAACCTCATGTGCAGCCACCACCTGTCAGTGAAGGCTTGTGGGTTGCTCTGATACTAAACATAGCTTAGCAGAACTTCCAGACTAAACAGACTAGGAAGAAAGGCCTGGTGATCTACTTCTGAATATCTTAGCTATGGATCAGAACAGTTCAACCTGCAATCAGTCTTGGGAATGGCATAGAACTAGGCAGCATTTCATTCTGCTGTGCATGGGGTTGCCAATGCAGTGGCAGCGACAACAATGTGTGAAACACAGCCCAAATGGATACATGTTCATCATTGTTTTCTAGTCTCTTTCCACATTCCTTGTTGATGACTTATGAACAAGAGAAATTGGTCAAGTTACATACCAGTGTGAGATTTGCTCATGGAAGATTTATCTCAATCCTCCAGCTCTGCCACATGGGAAATACGGAATAAAGCTAATGAAAACTTGGGCTGATGCCCAGCCTCCAGGAAGGCAGTTGGATGCTGTGTTCAGCTTACCTGGGTATGCTAGTCAGGTAGGTCATGACATTCAGGAAGTCCCCATCTGGGATGTGTTTGAACCCTGCAAATTCTGGAAAAGTGATGATGGGGGCACCATCTTTCCCTTGGCCTCCTGTGGAAAAAAAAGGGGGGTGGTGAGGATGTTAGCAAATGCTTTCAGGTAATGTCCCTGCAGGTAAGGGTCTTGGACCATCAAGTCAAGAGATGTAAGGTTGACCTCCCTCTTTTCTATCAATATTATCTCAGGTCTGAATACAGGAGATGTTGCCACTTTGTCACCTTGAACAAGTCTCTATTCTCCTTCCTCTTGCTTAGTGGCACTGTGAGAACTTAATTCTTGAATCCTTTGAAGATAGTTACTATAACAAAAGTAATACTGATTATAGCTTATTTTAGCATAGCCAGACAGTAAATACTGCCAAAATCAGTGCATAATATTGCTTTTTGTGTTTGTAGTCAGTAAATACCAAATGTCATACAGCATGGTGGTTAAGACAGTGGTCTCTAAAATCAGCTGTTGTTGTTGTTATGTGCCATCGAGTCGGACCCAACTCATAGTGACCCCTCCTTGGGTTTCTGAGGTGGTATCACTACAGAAGTAGATTACCCAACCTTCCTTCCAAGGAGTGGCTGGTGGGTTTGAACCACCAGCCTTCTGGTTAGCAGTCAAATGCCTTAGGCACTACGCCACCAGAGCTCCTTGGACATTATAATAGTTATTATTACTGCAAGGAAGCAATAATCTGCTGCCTTTCAAGAACTTATTAATAGGAACATAAGACACGCCTGGACAACAAAGAAGACCAAAGAAGAGTTGATGCCTTTGAATTGTGGTGTTGGTAAACAATACTGAAATGGACTGCCAGAAGAACGGACACATCTGTCCTGGAAGAAATGCAGCCAGAATGCTCCTTATCTGTGAAAATGGCCAGACTCCGTCTCACCTACTTTGGTCACACTGTCAGAAGGGCCTAGTCCCTGGAGAAGGATATCATGCTTGGTAAAGTAGAGGGTCAGCAAAGAAGGGGAAGACCCTCAATGATTGACACAGTGGCTGCAATGACGGGCTCAAGCACAGCAAGGATTGTGAGGATGGTGAAGAATCAGGTAGTGTTTCGTTCTGTTGTACGTAGGATCGCTACCAGTCAGAGCCAACTCGATAACACCTAACAATAACAACAAGACATCCCTGTGAGAATAAAATATAAAAATTAATATTTAACTCATCAGAGTGGAGGCCACCAAAATTAAAGATTACATATCTCAGTCTCCTTACAGCTAGATGTAGCCACATGACTAAGTTCTAGCCCCACAGTTACCAAACTGCTTCCAGGATTCAGGGCCCCATCGTGAACCCAAAGAGGCTCCATGGAACATCTTAAATTTTTTAGGAAAACATAATGGTAATTGACAATCTTCACATACACCACACATGCCACTAGCTTGAGTAGGTCACAAATTGAACATTAAATCCTACTATATTCTTTTTGATGGCATCATACGTTTGTAAAGCTGAGCTTTTGGTGGTTGGTTGCTGTGAAAAAAAGCAAGGATTATATGAAAATCAACATGGAACAGGAAATGAGAGTGGTGATAGCTAGCCTGATTCCAGGGTTTGAGATAATTGTGGTTACTAAGAACGAAATTAAAATGTTGTTTTTTCTTTCCATTTATGTATATATATATTTTTCAAATGGCTACTTAGTTGATAGAACATAAATACTTATTAAGTTGTTTTAACTATTAGATATTTCTTTTGTCCAAAGGTGGGTTAAGGAATGTGAAAAAATAACTAAGACATTAAGGCATCAAGAACTGAGAAGGTTTGGGAACCTCTGCCGTACCACTGGGATGTGACCTGAAGGGCTGTGTGCAGCTTCCAGGTCATGCTCTTAGAGGGAAACCACCTTAAAGAGGAACAAAGACTCTGAATTCAAGGCCAGTTCAGGTGATTGCATTTGTATTTAACATATCTAAGGGCGCTCTGGTAGTATAGTGCCTAAGGCACTTGATTGCTAACCAGAAGGCTGGCGGTTCAAACCCACCAGCCACTCCTGGAAGGAAGGTTGGGCAATCTACTTCCGTAGTGATAATGCCTTGGCAACCCAAGGAGGGGTCGCTATGAGTCAGGCTGACTGGAGGGCACATAACAACAACAACAACAAGGGAGCTCTGGGGGTATAGTGCCTAAGGCATTTGACTGCTAACCAGAAGGCCAGTGGTTTAAACCCACCAGCCACTCCTCAGAATGAAGGTTGGGCAATCTACTCCCATAGTGATATCTGTTGTTGTTATGTACCTGTGGAGGCAGACCCAACCCCACAGCAGTGAGTAATGAAAGACAAGAGCTCTGGGGGCGCTGTGGCTAAAGCATTGGGCTGCTAATCAAAAGGTCAAAAGGTTACAGTTAGAACCCACCAGCCACTCCACAGAAGGCTGAGGCAGTCTGCTTCCATAAAGATTACAGCCTTGGAAACCCTATGGGTCAGTTCTACTCCATCCTATAGAGTCGCTTTGAGTCAGAATCAACTCAATGGCTGTGGGACTGGTATTTTTTTGGTTAATAAAAGATGGAAGGGGCCCTGATAGTGCAATGGTTAAGTGCTCAGCTGCTAACTCAAAGTCAGTGGTTCGAACCCACCAGCTGCTCTGCAGGAGAAAGATGTGGCAGTCTGCTTCCGCAGAAATTACAGCCCAAGAACCCCTATGGGGCAATTCTGCTCTGCCCTATAGGATTGTTGTGAGTCAGAATCAACTAGATGGGAACAGGTTTGTCTTTGTTTTTAATGAAAGATGCATAGGTATGGTTGTGGTGTGGAGCTTGATTAATAATGAAAGCACAGAATTGAGAGAGACTCAGAGAAGCAAAAGTGGGCAGCTTACCGCCAGTGCTGTCCTAAGAAAAAAGCATCCTAACTCATCACCATAAGAATCCAAACTATGTAGACAGTCTATTTGATGACACCACCATTAAGATCATCCAACTGAGTCTCTCTTCTGTGCCGAGCATGCCCAATAAATATCTTCTGATTATAATCTGATTCTTGCATAAATTTGTTTCCAGGGAGAGAATGTGCAAATGAGCAAACAATAGTATGTGTATCATGTAAAGAGGAAGTTGGCATTGTGGTTTTTCTACATGAGTCTTGAGAGTGTTGTTGATGAGAGCCAGGCTCTCAGACATCAATCACTAGGGAATGAAACTATGTGAGCTTTTCTGAATGGCTAGTCAACCTTCCCTAGGAAGTGTTCCTTTATAAATACCCTGTGCTTAAACTAAATTTCAAAAGATACCTGCAGATTGAGTTACCTTCATTATGGCGACTGAAAACAATTTAGATCAGGATATTTTCAGCTTTCACGTAATAGTCTTCCTCTTGGCAGTTTCACAACCATTGTTGTTGTTGTTTTATGTGCCATCAAGTCATCTCCTACTCATACTGACCTTATTTATGTACAACAGAATGAAACACTGCCTGGTCCTGTGCCAACTTCACGATCCCCACTACACCCAAGC